GAGGACATCTGCCTCCCACTTGATACTTTTGGGGTCCTTGTCAAATATCAGTTGCCTATATGATGATGCTTTTATTTCTGGGTTTTCGGTTCTATTTCGTTGTTTGAGTATAAATCATGATACCAGTGCCATGCTGTTTTGGCCACTGTGGCTGTGTAGTAGGTGTTAAAGTAAGGTAAAATGAGCCTTCCAACTTTTTCCTTCTTCTTGAGGAGTTTTCTACTGATTTGGGGCTTCTTTCCTCTTCATACGAAATTGGTGGTCAGTTTTTCCAACTTTTTGAAGAAGGCGGTTGGTATTTGAATCAGGATAGCATTAAATTTATCTAGTGCCTTGGGTAAGGTTGACATTTTTACTTTATTGAGTCTTCCAATCCTGGAGCATGGGATATTCTTCCATTTGTAGAGGTTGCTTTTGGTTTTCTGTCCTAGGGTTCTGTAGTTTTCCTTGTATAAATCTTTTGGGGTTTGTTTTGGTTAGGTATATCCCTAGATATTTCTATGTGTTCTTGATTATTGTGTAGGTACTACATTCTTGATATCCTCTTCAATGTTCATGCCCGATATATATAGCAAAGCAATAGATTTCTGTTTGTTGATCTGACATCCTGCCATTATTACATATTCCTCTCACTTTCCGTACTTCTGTTGTGGGGCTTTTGGGATTTTCAATGTACAGAATCATGTCATCTGCAAATAGTGGTAGTTTCACTTCCACCTCTCCCAGTTGGATAACTTTACTGCATTCCACTGTCTTATGTTGTTAGCTAGGCCCGCCAGTATGATTTTGAACAGAAGTGGGGACAAAGGTCTTCCTTGTCTGTTCCCCTTTTTGAGAGGGATTCTTTTCATCTTTTCTCCATTGACTATGATGTTTGCTGTTGACTTTTCACAGATAGCTTGTATTAATTTTAGGAATTTTCCTTCCATTTCAATCTTCTTGAGTATTAGATGTTAGATTAGATTAGATGGGTATTAGATGTCAAATGTTTTTTGTGTATCTATTGACATTGTCTTGTGATTCATATACATTTTCATCTCAATGTGGTGTATAATATTGATAGATTGATAGATTTTCCTTGTCCTAGAACACTGTGACCTTGACATCTATCTTGATAGATAGTTTGGCAGGGTAAAGGATTGCTGGCCTGTTGTTTTTTCCTTTCAGCTTTCAGAAGATGTTACCCACTCTCTCCTACTCTTCACAGTTTCTGCTGATAGGTCTGAGCATATTCTTACCTGAATACCATTGTATGTGAACACCTTTTTTTCTCTTGCTGCTCTTAAACTTTTATCTTTTTCCTCGAAGTTGCATAATTTAACTATTATATTCCTTGCTGAGTTCCTCCTGGGATTTAGTCTTATTGGTGTCCTCTCTGCTTCCTGTATGAGTGTCTGATTTTCTTTCATTAAGGTGGGAAGTGTGCTTCCAGAAATTCCCTCACTAATTTAGCTGTTGACTTCTTCGTTGTGTCTTGTTCTCTAGATCAATTATTCAAATAATGTTCCTATTCATAGCATCTGTCATTGATCTCTGGTTTTCTTCTGCCTCTTTGATTATCGTGTTTGACTGTCTTTCCCTTTTATTGCAGTCTGCCTGACTGTCCTTGAAATCACTGGTATGATTATCTTCCTCCTTTAGTCTGTTTTTTGCAGTTTATGATCTTGTATTTTAGTTGTGTTATCTCATCCATTAGCTCTTGCATTTCCCTATGGTGCATGGACTTCATCCCCTTATGGTGGGCTTCATCTCCCCTATCATTGCATTGTTATTCTGTATTGTGAAATTTACCACTTATGAAAGGAATAACATTTCAAGAGTAAGTTTAAAAAACAAACACCTATTATTACTAGGGTACCAGTAGTTTATGCAAAGATTTATTCCAAATGCAATGGGTTTAACATGTCATGCTAATTAGTGGATGTCTGTAGACAAATTTTCTCAGTAACACACTTTCTTTTGGCTTTGTTTGGATGCCTTAAAAAGGAAAGGTCCAACCAAAATTGAGGCTTTAGAGGGCATTATTAAATGTATATCTATCTATCGGTCTATTATCTATATAAGCAGAAAGGTTAACACAGACAGTTACGGTGACTGGCTTGGGGTTATCTCAAAGGAGTAATCTTGGTTAATTTTCTCAAAGGACACATGAATTTTATGGGTGCTTAGTAGAAAGAAATTTCATGAAAATCAAAAATTTCCTTGATGAGCAAAGTGATTCTTTAAGGGTAACAACGAC